ATTCGCCTACACAACATTCACTTCATTTCTAATTAAACTCATTCTGTAAAGTGCCTTGAGATGGTTCTGTTATGGGAAATGTGCGACATAAATGTATATTGTTGTTAATTAAGGTTGGTTTTAATAACATCGTTATATTGGCCTTGACACAATTTTAATTTTTTTTACAAAACTCGAAAATTCACTCCTATGTAAGCTAAATCTCAGGCATTCAAAGAAACAAAGAAATGGTAGAGATCCAAGAAACTCCATCTGAAACAGAACAACAATTCTCATCAATCTATTTCCTTTGTAAAATTCAAAACCCAGCCTATCACGTAGGTCTCCCATTACAATCTTGAACTCAGCAATTATAAGTAGCAAACCTGGAATGTCTTGCTATTAAACTGAAGGGAATCAAATGAGACTTGTTATGTCCTTTATTCCACATCTATAATGATGAAGGAATGGATGCTATGCTGCAACCTGAAAAAGGCATTAAGACCTTAACAAGTTTAAATAAAGGGGGAAAAATCATTTTTATGTTGAAAAGGATTTCTTTTCATGCAGTCACAGCAGTTTTAAAAAAAACATAAAAACTTTCACTCAACAGGTGGTCCTTATATGTTCTTGAGCCTTAAGAATCAGAAAAAAAGACAAGCCATGTGTCAGAATCTAATGTTCTAAAGCAAGTAACGACTATTCACTTTCTTTTGTTAATTGTTAGTTTCTGCAAGGTCAGGTATTGTTCGAATCACAAATGTGAGAACATTCTTATTTGACATTTCTCCATAAATAGATACTGCCTGAGAATGACCAGTCAGGGAGACATCTTGTCAGAGGCAGCGAGGGACATACTGTGAAGACAGGAGGCTATGTACCAGCAGTGAATGAATGGTAGTCAGAAGCCAGAAAACTCAGATTACATTTTTGAATGTTAAATACTAAATAATGTAACAGCAGTGACTAACAAGAGAATATATAAATGTGATATTAAAGTGCACGAGTGCAGACACTTTGATTATAGCTGAGATAACAAGCTCTCTGTAAGGGCTGTGGATAAGTTTACAGGTTCATAACTCTCAGTTGGATGTGCTCACCATGTGAGCACGTAGGAAAGGATTGCAAAACGTTAGTTCAAAACATTTTTGTATGATTTAATTTAACAGTAATAAAGCAATCCTAAAGTTTAAATAAATTATCTCTGCAACATTAGTATTTGTGACTTTATCTGTAACTGATTGGAAGAGCCTCCATGAACTCCACATGTCAATGTAACAGTCAATGAGAGAGAAAGAGGTATGGAAATAAGCATGACATGAGCTACCTAATGATGAAATCTTCTTACAGTAATTAGTTTACCAATATTTTTTTTCCGGATCAGCCAGAATTCAAATAAATTGATTTTGTACATATGAAATAAACCTGAAAAATTAACCGGAAGATCCAAAGGGGGAAAAAATTAAGAAAAATAAAATTGAGACTAAATTGGTAAATTGATGTCATGAGAATTGCTCCTTATTGATCTCCCTCACATTACTTACTTCAATTTGAAAAATGTGAATGCAATGATCCAGCAGTTTATATGAAAATATTCCAAATTTTCACAGTTCTGCTGTATTATAATCAACCTTCAGACTTTATGACATATAATTTGTTAACGCCAATGGCAAAGTTCTGTTAATTCCACATTAATATGCTGCATTTGAGAACAAGTCAGCATTTTATTGATTCACTTTTTAAACATAGTAGACTTAATATTCTGCATCTTATTGATATGGTTCAACCTTTTCTGTGCCTTGCTAATGATCTGGGATCCCTTTTAATCTATAGTGACAGATAATGTATCACTGATAGATAATGTACCTAAGAAAAATACTTGCATTTGATAATAGAGCCAGGACAGTTTAAATGTCTCATTAACATCAAATAAATGCCACTAGGATTTCCTGTGGAGGGAAAGATGTCCTGAAAAGGTCCACGCACCATGTTGAAGCAGATGCCTGCCAGATAGTTGATGAGGAAACTCTGAGGCTTGGGGCGACAAGTAAATTAGCATGGATAAGTTTGTTTAAATATGAATGTTATGTATTTTTTCCACTACAATGGATTTTGTTGTATCATATTTGGTGAAAAAGTGCCACTACTTAAATGTTTCCCTTTGAACCGTGCAGTACATCAGTGTGATTTGAATCATATCTTTTGAAGAACTAGAACTTGTAAAGCTATTTTAGCTATTATAAAGAGAATAAGACAAATTTAAATAAGTGCAAAAAGTCCCTTCAAGTTCAAATCTGCATTGAATTATTTTAAGCAACAACCATTTACTCCATCAGAACTGACGTTGTATCAACCTTTTGATACTCTCCCTGTAATTCAATGAGATTTTCTGCTGCTATTTTACTGATAAGATGTTCTACGTCACCCTCTTACAGCCCCTTGTATTTGGCCTTCGTGAAATGAGCTGAATAACTAATGTAAATGCCATGTAGATGGAAAAGAATAATCTATGTAATGGATTACTCCAGAAATCAATTAGATAGTCACAAAATGTGGATAAATTAGCAACAACAGGATTGCAGTTTTAAAGCATGCTTTGCTCGCCTTATAATAACTTATTTTTTTAAAATGAAGAGTGTAATTTCACATATGCATGCCACCTACGCATGGAAACTTCCTCTCATCAATAAACTGTACCTTTGAAAAACTAAGTCTTGGAAATGTGAATGGATCCACCATCCACAGCCTTTGTGTGGGAGGGTTCCAGATTTCTACTACCCTTTGTGTGAAAAACGACCTTCTAATTTCACTCCTAAATGGCCAAGCTCTAATTTTAAGATTATGCCCCATTGTTCTGGATTCCTTCACCAGAGGAAATAGTTTCTCTGTAGCTACCCTATCGAATCCCTTTATTATTCTAAAAACTTCAATCAGATCATCCCACAACTTTGTAAACTCAAGGGGATAGAGACCAAGTTTATGCAGCCTATCCTCGTAATTTAACTATTTAAGCCCTGGTATCATCTGGTGAATCTGCATTGTACCCCCACCAGAGCCAATATAACCTTCCTGAGGTGCTGTGCCAAAAACTGAACAGTGTCCAGATGGGGTATGACCAAGGCTCTATACAGTTAAAGCATCATTTCCACTTCTTTATATTCCAGCCCCCTTGAGATTAAGGCCAACATCCCATTAGCCTTTTTATTAACTTTTTGTACCTGTGAGCTTGTTTTTAGTGATTTGTGTATGTGGTCACCCAAATCCCTTTGCTCCTCCACAATTTTTAGTTTTTCATCATTTAGAAAATGCTACAATGAGACACTACCCAGTTTGGAGGGTTATATAGATGCAAGTCAAAGCTTTCAGTCAAAGCTGAGTATTAGAAACAGGCAAGTCAGCACAGCAGGCATCCTTTGACCATTATGTGATAGTAGTGCATGCTACCTACCCTACTGGAGCCATCCAGTAAAACCCCATTCCCTCATTTTGTCCCAATCCTTCATTCTTCACACAAGTCATTTTATCAAATTTTCCTTTTAAAAACTGAAATTGACTGGGCTTCAACAGATACTTACGGTAAAACATTCCACATTCTACAACTTTCCCTTTATGTTCAGTTCATAGCTGCTTCTTGCAAATTCACCAATCAGTGGAAGTAATCTTTCCTTTTTTTAACCCGTAAAAACTTATTCATATTTGTTGTGGAAATTCATTATGTTTTATGAGCTTGAGCTGAATAACTTTATTTTGGTTCGTCACTGAATATAGAATTTACCATTCAAGATACTGTAGATTTCTGCCCTTCTACTGTTCAAACACACAAATAGACTCAGTTATAGCTTTTACTACGATGATATAGAAACAGTTTTGTTGGAATGACATTCAAGGACTGACACCTTACAGTATTTTTGTATGGTTCTGTGGCTCATTTACAATGGTCTTGCAGAAGCATTACAAACCTATTCAGGAAATAAGGATCCTAAATAAAATGCATTCGACCAGTCCTCCTCCCATCCCTGTCTTCCTGTGCTTGCTACTAGGGCTGTCGGGAGTACCTTCATCAAATGGTATAAAATCACTTTGATTTAAATTCTAAATTTAGTGTAATTTAGAGTATGCAATTTAAAAGCTGGTCAGCAGACAAAGAATCCTTTGTGTTTTACACAGCCAGACATCTGATAGACATCAGAATGTGAAATGTTCAGTTGTCACAGCCCTGCTGTAAATGACATTTATTTTACAGTTAGTCTTGCAAACAATCTACTCAACTTCTTGCCCAGGAACACTGCAAAGCCAACAATGGGGTTAATACATAATCATTTTTCTAACAATTCATTTTGAAAAGCAAAGTAAATCAAAACATCTCCAATGGATCCTAGACCCACTTACCAGGCCACTTACCACTTATAGCAGCTGTTACGGAGAGCCATTTGACAACTACATTGTGACAGCATTTCCTTTACAATGTTTAATGTATAGCAGATAGTAATTAAAAAGGAACAACCGTTTCAATTTTACATCCAAATATACGCTCAAGTTTCTAAGAAAATATATATAAAATGTCACTGATGACAGATTAACCCAGGCACCAAATACCCTCATTATACTATTAAAAGCAATGAGATGGGTCCATTTATACTCCCCACTCACACCAAACTTTCCAATCAATTTTTTAGAAAATCACAAGATTTGAATTTTCCAGCAAGTTTCCTTCATCCTAGGTAGCATCTTGGAGCACTTAACAATGGTGGAACTTAACGCTGAGCCAGGAGAAAGTGGAGTTGACCATACGTACGGTCGAATATGAAGGTCCTTAGGTGCAATCTGAATATGAGCAAGACTGTTGGATTGAGGCAGGGAGTTCCAGAGAATAGCTTCAAGCTTACTTCAGAGTTAAGGGAAGAATAATGCTAAAGCGATTGGAATCAGCAGGTTCTGAAGCAGAAAAGGTTTATTCTGAAATCTTTACTTTAAATCGAGATTAACTAAAAGATAAAAAGTAACGACCATTCGAAAAATACAATAAATGGTAAGGGCAAATTTTATTATACCACTTAGAAACTAACATTGAACCAATATACAGTAGTACACAATATTTACATAAATAATGAATAAGATGACTACAGCAGTTGAAAATGTAGCTGAAACAAGATGCAATTTAGTCATGATGATAAATTTTAGTGCCGCCAGAATGTTTCTACTTATGTACAAAAAATATTTATTCTAGATCGTTTTTATCACCGTTTTTTCTGACTTTGTGCAGAAGACATTTATCCTTACATTTCTTCCTGTTCTACCAGCAGACAATGAAGATCTCCCTTCTAAAAATTGCTTAAGAGTGACAGCTGGGTTTTATTGAAAAGAGAAAGTTTTTTATTTATCCGGTTACTAGACTCTTGCTATTATCAACGGTAATCTCGCCAAACTGCCATCTGTAGAATTTTGATTAAGTACTCAAGAAAAATACTTCAGGAAATGTCAATAAATTCCCATACAATTGCTGCAAGACAAGTCTCTATTTTTAAAAAAAACCCACGATGTTTGTTCACTGACTTATTTCAACCAGTTTTCATCAGTCGAGTCATAAATCTCAAGAGTGAAAATTGACTTCAGAAAGAGATCTTCTCTGACTCCATCGCATGAGCCTGGTCATTCGCTTTCTGCAACAGTACAGCCTTCAGCACATGAATCTTCTCATCTAATTCAGTCAGGCTGTAGCTCTGAAAGACAGATTTCGAGAGTTTAAATCTGTAGCAGACCAGAGTAAAGCATTGTAGTTTGGATTCTCAAAGTTTACTGACAACCACCTCTTCCAGGTGCCTTTACTGACTATGTACCAACATGTGTTTGTCCATTCAGACTGAATTGTTTGTGTTGAGCTCATGCCCAAGAAATGAGGAAAGCATAGTAGGGAAACAGCGTTCGTGGATTAAAATAGGTTCCTTGAACATAAGAAATGGACTAAAATATACAGAGTTCCCAAAATCACAAACTCACTGATGAGGACAAAATATTGATTAGGGTGGTGTGATTTATTTGAGTGGGTAGCAAATTTCAACTAAACTTTCCCTCAGTTCTCATACCCATAAGGCAGCAGGAATTCAGCAAATTGAATTTATTCTTAACTTTGAAGCCGCTTTTCTGTATTTGTTAGATAAAAATAAACTTTGCATTTGATATAGCATCTTTTAGGTCAGGAAGATGTCTCAAAACGATCACACAATATACTATTTTGCACACAGTAATGTCCCACAAACAACCATGAAGTAAATGACCAGTTTTATTTTGGGGTATGATTGGCCAGGACACCAAGAAAAACTCTTCCTTTTGAATAGTGACATAGGACCTTTAGCATCTAGCTAAACACAGAAGGGGCTTCGGTTTAATGTCTCATCTGAAGGACATCTCCAGCAACAACGCAGCAACCCCAAGTACAACAATGGACTGTCAGCCTAGACTTTCCAAATTCAAAGTTCCAATGTGGGGCTGGAACTCATAACCTTCTGAATTAGAAGATGTTCTACTAACTGAACTAAGCTGACATCTGTTAAAAGAAGTTACAGAACCAGTTAAAATGATACAGAAAAACAGCTCCAAAATTAAGGTTGTATCTAAGGACTTTCTAAATTCTGGGAACTTTGAAATGCTGTATTAATAGAGTAAATTTAGACCAAGGTCAAATTTTGCCCCTAAGCTGTTTCATATATAAATAAAAAAAATACCTGAGCTGCTTGAACTTTTCGTCTTTTAGCTGAAAAATTCTAGGAGAAGAAAAAAGATTTTTTTTAAAAAAAGCAACACAAAACCTTAAAATCATTGACAATATGTCTAACAATGATCTGCAAAATCTTAAATGTACACCCTTCAGTTAAATCTCCAAAAATACTAAAAAACATGTTTTGCTTAAATCTGCATCATAGAATAAAGAATGTTTCAGAATAATAGGCTTCAAAGATCCCATTCTTTTTTTCTGGCCCCCATCAAATTTAATATCTGAATTTATAAAACATTTGACAGTATATGAGAAGTAGTGGTTCATTCATGGCCCATTCAAAACGTATGCAAAGTGCTTCTTTTTAGCATCTCTGGTGCTGGCATGGGAAGGTGCTGGGGGGAGGAGAGCAACTGTTGGTGGTGATGGAGGAATGACCTAGGGAGTCACAGAGGGAATGGCCCCTTCGGAATGCTGAGAAGAGGGGGGGGGAGAGAGGTGAGGGAACAATATGTTTAGTGGTTGGATCACCCTGGAGGTGCCAGAAATGGCGGAGAATTATTTGTTGGGAGCGACTTCTTGCTCCCCAGCGACTTCTGTTTTTGTTTCAGATTTCCAGCATCTGCAGTATTTTGCGTCCAGTTATATACAAGTCTACCTTTATCCTAATATTTTGCTGATCGAGAAGTTCAGCAGTTCAAAGTTAAATTTCCAATGCATAGAACTTTATTCTATTGTGACTGGTTGAACATCACAACATTTCTGCGTTAGTGAAATTTTGTTCCTCTTTCTCATGAATTACTGCGCCGCCTGAAAGGTCTAAGCCATGTATTCTCCATTAACACAATTGTCATTTGCTTATAAACATCCTTCGACACATGTTGAAAGCCGCTATACAAATGTAATTTTGTTGTTGTTGTTTCAATCTTGTATTCCAAATGAGAATTGATGAAATTAACTACCAGGAGGATCTAACAGACAGGCAGCCCAGAGATTGAAGCCCGCAGATAATTGCTTCAGATGCAGGTGCTTTCATCAACATAGTGTCAGATTTATCTATGTTGCACCTTTTTCTTTAAAGATTGGATAAAATTATTCACTAGTAAAGTCCCCTTAACAGTTGGAAATAATCTTCATAATTAAGGCTTTAAAATCAAGTTCAACGTAAATTTTGTCATTAAATTTCGTAATCCTTAACTGTGTCAAACTGAAATTGAGCTTTTTTTTAAAAAATCCATGATTAATAAAACAAGGTAATTGGCAACAGCAGCTGTTGTTGTGATAACTGAATAGCAGTTGGTGAGAAAACTAAAAACGCATATATTCTGCAAAGACATAGCTTGCAGGCTATGATGTATTTAGATACAACAAATACAATCAATTTTGTTGCCAAATTGTTTCCTTCTACCTAAACCTATATATATTATATATTTAACAATAGCTAGCTAATGTAATGAAAACAATTAACCTACCACATGGTGAAAATATTCTGGAGAAAGGCCTTCCAAATGAAGAATTCTATCCTCAAGCCTTTTGATCCTTCGATAAATGTCTATTGGAACAGGACCGCCTACATACACAAAACAAAATCTGAATTTTCGTGGATAGATAGTGTACAAATCATTTCACCTCGATCATTTGGAGGCATGCAAGCAAAGAAAATTCAGCTTGAGCTAGGGCAAACCTACAGTATCATAAATCTTTCTGTTCAAGCATCACAGATCAAAGACATAAACCAGACAGGACAGAAATAATTGTGAGCCTGATTACATTTTTGGATTCATATACCTGTTAAAAAACTACTGAAGTACTTGTCTTGCAGCTCATGTCATCATCTGAATTTGATTAATTATTTTCTTGCAATCACCTCCTGGTATTGGATTACTTTCTCATTAGCACACTATTAATAAGAAGACTGCAAAGTAAACTGCACCTGTTTGGAGCTTCAGGTGGGCTTCCATATTTTGTAGCCTTTCTTCAACAGCAGGGTTACCACAGTCTTGATTCACATTGTCAGATTTCTGCTGAAATTCTCCTGCATTTTCAGGCCTGGTTTGTGGCCCATATGTATTCACAACTCTTGAAACTGTGAACAAATTGAAATATGCAAGATTTGGAAAGTCTTCTTTTACATTATTCATAAGATCAGTTTTATTCCGTAACATAATTCACTATGATGAATCCACCATTATCAGCGTGCTTTCAAAACATTAGCGTTCAAAACCTAACAGCAATTGTCCACAAAATATAGGATCTTTATGAAAATTCTTATTTTGCGCCATCTGTATTTACTTCCCAACATTATTTTACTGAATTGTGACTAACAAAGCCATTACTCCTCCCTACACGTTTTACGAATTATCGGCTTCAAAAAATGCAGTCACTGGTTCAGTAACCGATATGCAACACACAACAATGCTTTTCCCAGCCATATGTTGGTAGAAACACCAGGAATCTCTCCCGGGCATTTATGCGAGATGGGAAAGGCCAATTAATCTAAAAGGCTAAGAGCGATATATAAGTATAGTGGAGAAAATGGTCGAGAACATATTATGGATAAATGTACCGTATTGCCTACAGGAAAACAAAACCCCCAAACGTGTACACAGCAGAGATGTTTTTCAGCAAAGATGGAAAGGGAAAAAGCTTTGGATAAAATTATTGACCATTCACTGAAACTTTCCAGTCAATGAAGTTTATTGTCCTGTGTAAACTCTTATGAATTCTGCATGTAGCAAAGTAAGACTAGGTACAGTAATGTGCCTACAAATAGAACTAGATGAGGCAGAAAAAGAAAATTAGTCTCAACCTTCCTTCCTCTTCTTTCTCTTGCACATTTAAATCTCTTTATAAGAAAAGTACAAAACTAATCTCAATTATTTAGAAACAAGCTATTTTATCAACAATGTATTTCTTCCAAATTCAAGATAGTTTTATTTCAGAAATGTATTAACATCCACAAAATGATTATTATTTTTGAAGTAGATGGTAATTCTAGAAAAAGTTTTGAATGTGAGCACATCATTGTTATGGTGACTTTTCTCAAATTCAGAACTTTCCACAAGTTCAAATGTATCCACATTTGTTTCTTTTCGTGAAACAACAACCCATAATGTATTGTAAAGGTAACAATATTCTCACACTTGAAGTTAAATATTTATGTTTATTCAATAAGAAAAACAGCAAAAATGTTAGATTAAAAATAACAAAATCAACCTGTACCTTTAACATGACTCTTAAAGCCAGGATGAGGAGTGAAAACTGCATCCGTTCTAGCACAGCTGTTTTCTGCACAAAAACACATGCAACTGAATGAGATAATAAAAGCAATTCAAAAGAAAATATTCAGTGAGGCGATGGAATTAAAACAATGTGTTCTGCCCCACTTCTACTGTATTCTAAATACTGTCTGTAATACGAAAAAATACAGAATAAACCAACATGATTTCCACTTGTATAAGGTATCATTGTTAAATATTTAATATTTGCTGTAGATGCTAAAAATATCAAAATCAATAAAGTATTTAATAAAAGACAACTCACCTAAATTACAATGAATAACATTGCAAAATTCACGGATATTGTTTTCATTGTTCTCAGCCTGCTTTCTCTCTATGAATGCTGATATTCGTCTTTCTATCTGTTATAAATAAGACAAAAAGTGTTCGACTTGCTCAAAAAACAAACAATTTCCAAATCATTATAATTATGTCAAGGAGGATATAAATATAAAATTACAGTCTCTTACTTCATCTCTGCTAGCCTTAATCTGCACCAATTCAAATTCGGTTGAATTAATTGCTGATTCTGGTCCTTCAGGTTTGTTTTCTATGTCATTCCGCACCTTTGTTTCAAGACTAATTGCTTCATTGGAATTGGGCTTGCAGCCTTCTGCCACTTTCTTTGGATCACCAGTAGACTTCGCAGGCAGCATTGCTTCATGATGTCCAGACGGGCCATTTCCAACGAGAAGATCAAGCTTGTCTGAAATGCGCTGATTGGAAAAAGTTATTAAATTGTTTGAAGGGCAAAATACCCCAGAGCTTGGGGTTAGTCTGATTAAACATTTGAAAAAGTTACAGTTTAATAAAATCTCAAGACAGGTCTATATTGTTTGGTGACAACGTTATTAAGGGTGCTGTTTCCCTTTTTTTGAACTTTCCCCACGCAGCGAACCTTTTGTTCAGGATTTCAAAATCAGATTGGCACATTTAGGAAATGTGGCACAATCTGGCATCAGACATCCATATCAATCCATCTAATAGCCTTTAAATAATAATACCCAACACAAGAATACAATGTTTTGTCGATTATAAGTAATAAATACAGTAAAATGATAGGAATTTGGAGAAAAATGCATATTCTATATTTAGTAGTTTATTTTTTCTCTTTGTTGCTTCCCACTTCCTTAAATCGGCCTTATGGAGCCAGCTCATAGTCATCAGGTCTCAGTTGTTCAACCACAGCTATTGGGATACCCAAACACAAAAGATTGACAGCTCAAAATCTTTTCACTATGGCAAAGCACCATATCTACACTCGTACCTTTAATAACCCAATAGTGAGTGTGAAATCATGGCTTAAAACAATATTTTATTCCAATACAGTTTGAAACAAAATTATACAAGTGTGCTATTATACTGGTTTCACCTTTTTCTGAAAAAAAATGTTACCCAAGACAAGGTAATATATTTTGGTGAGAGAACAAAATTTATTAAGAAATAAGAACTACCAAGAATCAAACATAAAACATAACATTTGTAATATTGTGCAAACACTCATGTAAAGAAATCTCGCCTGATGAAAACTTGCTGACTGTTCTGTATCTTATTAGGACCAACTTCAAAGCAATGCTAATAAGCAAAGTGGGGCACATATAAGAGTTAAGACCATTAACACCTTCTCCCAAGGCTCTCATAATCATTTTTGTTACATCTGGAACCATTTTAGTAACTGGGTATGCTCGAAGAGAAATCTTTCAGGCAACTGCCAACCAAAACAAAGTAAAATGTAGGAAGAGACTACTATTCAGGTAAATGGGATACGGTGGGGGATTTTGTACTTCAACAACTGATGGATAATAAATCTCTACAATCCAACATTGTAAAGTAATCTTGAGGTTACATGGATTCTTCTAAGTTAAAGCTACAGTGATTTTGTTCAACTGTATGATTGTGGATTTCAGAGATACAAGTGCAATACCGACACTGAGTAGTAAACTTCATGGGTGTAAACAATTATTGAAAGCCACTAGGCCTGACTTCTGCAGAGGGAATCGGGTAATTTATCAACTTTATTCACATCTGTAGGTACAGATCTGTAAGTAAGGTGACTTTTCTCAACAGTGACATTCAATTAAATGTAATGATTCAGTTACTCAATAAATATGCACATTTTTTGTAAATTTACACTGACCTTACTTCTTGATAATCAATTATTGGTACTCTGAGTTGAAAGAATTTTCTCATATTCATCATTACTACTTCAAAGCATATAAAACAATGCATACCAACAGTTACTGTCAGTTAGAGGAAATAAACCCAAAACTGAATAACCTCATGAAGATTACAGTATAAATTCTCCAGAAAGAATTCAAGGAGCAATTTCATTTCAAGGTTCTGAAGACATTATAAACCACTTGAGCCACTTCTTAAAATGAATCAAAGTTATACAGAACATAAATGTCTCAGGTTTGATTGCCTATCTGTGCTGAATTGATCGATATAAACTGGAGAAGCAGAAGAGCTGCTCAGCATTTTCAAGGTGCGTGGGGTATGGCCCCTAAAATTGCCTGTTAAAATCACTGCACCTGACAGAAATGACTTGTGAAATGCTTTGACATATTTTGATGCAATACAGCCTTGTACAAATACAAGACCAAGGGGAATAGCCTGCTGATACCCACTATTTACACTCATAATTTAAAAAGAATGATACCTGGGTAACCCAACAGCTGTGGAATAAATTGCTGTCCAAAATAAATCAGCACCTTTAGGAGAAGAGACAGCAACTTATAATGTCACCTGAACTTCTCAAATTCAGTTAATTACCTTATAACTACTAGGGTTATTGTATTTATAAGAGAAACATTCAAATAGATTTTTTTAAATAAATAAAGATGTACTCACCTGTAAATCAAGCACATGTTGTTGAAGCATACTACTTAAGCTTGCTGGATCAAGTACTGGCAGACTCTGAAGTTTGTTTAAATCAACAGAAACTTTCACTACAGCTTCTCCAAGGTTAAGCTTTAACAGAGCAGATAAACACGTCAAAATCACTTGTCTATGTCCAGTCTAGATCTTTACAAATAGTCATAGTCATTTATGTAGTTTGTTCAGCAACTACATAGCTAACATTAGATAAGAACAAGGAAAGCTTAGACATTACCACAATTTTTTGCACCTTTAAACTGTCAAATCAATCTGCATTTCAGTTTGCTTGTACTTTTGACAAGTGAAAATACTTTCTTTGCTTGTGTACAATTATATTATTGTATTTCTAAACTAGATTAAATTACCAATCTACCAGAGGAAGAATGAAGTTCACTTGTTTTTAATAAATGACAGAGAAAGTTCATAGCACCAGTCTTGGAAACCACTGTCACTGCGTTCCCAAATATTGTGCATAAAAACAAAATTTTAAAAAACATGAACTGCCATGCATTGTAACAAATTTAGATTGATTAAACAGCACAACAGGCTGAACTGTGATAATTTTGCCCATCATTATCTTCCCTTACTATACACTAATAATAAATAATAATTCTTACATTGGATATAATACTGTATCACATCATCAAAATAATTCAAAGCACTTCACAGGGTTTTACTGTGACATGAAGTTACTGTATATTTTTGTAGGCAAACACAACTACCACCTTGCAAAATCCCACTAACAGCAAAGAAATGAATGGCCATTTGTATCTGCAGAACTGTTGGTTAGTTGTATGTTGATGTGTATTCAAGTGTCACATTTAGAGTCTTATACTTATAAAGGACCACAGTCACACATTGAATCCCACATCAGAACTTTGAGCATATAGTATAGGATGACACACCAATACAGTGTAAATTGCTAAATGGTCAGAGGTGCCATTCTTTGGATGACATGGTGAACCAAGATAAAGATTCTGGACCAGCAAAAAAAGTCATTCATTTCAACAACAAAATTACATTTGCATAGCACTTTTCAAGGGTGTTTGTGGGACATAAATGCAAATTATTTTTATGTGTGCCTTCAAATACACAACTACTACTCTTTACAGAATGACTGAGGCGCTTTGAGATGTGAAACGTCACAACACTAAATGCAAGGAATTTCTTTTCCATCACAGCCCCCCGCCAGACCCACGGCCCCCCGCCGCCAGACCCACAGCCGCCCGCCAGACCCACGGCCCCCCGCCGCCAGACCCACGGCCCCCCGCCGCCAGACCCACGGCCCCCCCGCCGCCAGACCCACGGCCCCCGCCGCCAGACCCACGGCCCCCGCCGCCAGACCCACGGCCCCCGCCGCCAGACCCACGGCCCCCCGCCGCCAGACCCACGGCCCCCCGCCGCCAGACCCACGGCCCCCGCCGCCAGACCCACGGCCCCCGCCGCCAGACCCACGGCCCCCCGCCGCCAGACCCACGCCCCCCCCCCCCCCGCCGCCAGACCCACGGCCCCCCGCCGCCAGACCCACGCCCCCCGCCGCCAGACCCACACTCCCCCGCCCCAGACCCACCGCCCCAGACCCACAGCACCACCCCAGTCCCACACTCCCCCACCCCAGACCTACAGGCCAACCTTGCCAGACCCTCAACCCCCCCCACCGCCAGACCCACACTCCCCCGCCCCAGACCCACAGGCCAACCTTGCCAGACCCTCAACCCCCCCCAGCGCCAGACCCACACTCCCCCGCCCCAGAGCCACGGGGCTGCGGTTGGCCGCAAGGCGCTGGGCAGCACCTGCTGCCAGTGACGGGCTGTAACCACTGACCTGCTGGGGAAAGCGAGCCAGAGAGTGGAGAAGTTGCCGAACGCTCTCCGCCACAACGGCCTCCAGCTCTGGCGTCGCCATGACAGCGTCGTCCGTCAGCAAGGCCGCAGCTGATTGGCTGGACTCCCGGCGCAGGGCCGGGTCCTCCCACATCCCACAATGCTCTGCGGTAGCCCCGGCCTGTGGCTGAGCCGCAGTCTGACATCAGGGCGGGCGGCAGGTGTGACTTTTATTGGCTTCTAATAAAACGTAAGGGGCGGTTTTTTTCTCACAGGCCATATTTCTCTCCCGACACAGAGAAGGAAGAAATTTAAAGTTGGATCTGCAGGTTCTCGTGATGAGAAGCCTGGCTTTTGTGTGTCGGCCCGGCTCAGCCGCGCACGCTCCCGAGTCAGGGGTTCAAGCCCCATGTGGGGTCCAGGCCCACTCTGCAGCGGAGCGCTGAGGGAGCGCTGCTGCATTGTCGGAGTGCCGTTCTTCGGATGAGACGTTAAGCCAAGGTCCTGCCTGCCTACAGACGGGTAGACGTGAAAGATCCCATGGCACTGTTCGAAAAGTGGTCCTTGCCAACCAATTCCCCCGCATTTGTTTCATCGCTGTTTGTGGGACATCGCTGTGTTGATTTGGGCCGACACTTTGACCTACAACTGCGTTCTGAGTCACTCCGCTTCACTGTAAATTCTGTAGGCCATCCTTTTGTTTCGCCCACAAACTGTACAGTGAATTCACTTTACATATATTCTGTGGCTTTGAGACGACTTGAAGACGTGATAAGGCGCTATATCAAATGCAAGGCTTCTTATTATATCCTCCCGACATGAAAGGCGCTATGCCAAATGTAAGGATTATTTTTATAAAGCTGGGTCTTGCTATAAGATTGGTTATCCCATCCAGTGCCAATGTGTGAAATGCTGCACATTCAAATTGTATTATATTATCAATTCATATTATTATCAGTGTACATTATAATAATCTTTCCATTTAATATTGCCACCATATCACATAATTTGAAAACATCTCAAACCCTTTGCAGGATTTTACTATGAAATGGAGTGACTGCATATTCATAGGTTAATATGAATTTGTAAACATAGTATTTTCTACACAGATTGTCAATGCAAATAGGAAAAGCAACTATAATAAAAGATGGATGTCCCCAACATCCAATTTCCATTTGTTTACAAGCACTCTGCATAAATCATTGCAATGTTAACAAAGTCCATGATTTGTGCAATATCCTGACACAAATGGCTCTTCTCCAAACAAAACCACCTTTATAAAATACGTGAATTATAGCTTATATTGAAAAACAGAATCTGGTTAGTTTTCCCATGAATATTGTTTCAAACTAATAGCATTGTCATTTTGTTGATACAGTATTTTTTTCAAGTTTACCTTGAATTTAAAAAAACCCTACTGTATATAGATAATTAGTGTTTCATAAATGTGTCTTCTATAGCAGATGTTTTTTGCGAGATTAAATATTTTTTAAAAATTACGAAAAGATGCAAAGTGGCTAAGCTTGAATGTTTTTATTTATATCTTTTTACACAAAGTTACCCAGTATGACAAAATACTAAAAAAAAGAACACCGCAGAAGTAACCAAAATTTCACCTAATCTACATTATTCTACAAATAAACTAAAAATTCCAACCTGGTTATAGTTGTGAACTTGTTGTGGAAGTAGCACTGCAGTCTTCAAAATAATTAATTGCATTGTAACTGAAAAGCTGTTTTCTTTTGATTTTGGAGACCAATGTCTTCTAACTAATTATTAGGAATATCTGTCCACGTTTGCTCTCGCCCCCCGCCCACCATGAATCAAAACTAAAGCTATGTTTATGGTCTCCTCCTCCCCAAAACCCATGTACACACTGAGTCAAAAGATGGAGGTTTGACAGGTCATAGTAAACTGTTCCTTTTTCAGGTAACGTATATTTTTTTGGCTTTTTTGTGTGAATAGGAAATGACTAAAGGCACCTGTGTTATGCAGGTTCCAGGGGCAGCTGCTTGGCTAATGAATGCCTGATTATGTGTTAGCATGCTTTGTCAGATATTGGCAGAATCTTTTCTGTTTCCTTTTGCCTTTTCAGTGAGGATGCCATTGACAGACGGGTTACCATTTATAAAAATGTTGTCCATCAAACTGGGGAAAGACAATAGTGTTTTCTGTGGCTAGTGACTGTGGGAAACTTTCCTTTGGCTATTCAGACAATTTTAGCTTACATTGGACAGAACACACTGATGAGTGCAAAAGAGTTCAATTAGGAAAAGCTCGTCTTATACTAATAGTTAAAGCGTCATCTGGCATTCTAATGTTTTAATTGTGAAAAAAAAACGTTTTCAGAATCCCAGCAGTTCTCAACAGGGTGCGTTCTGTACTAGTAGAGGTCTCTTAGAGTATGTATTCTATATGCATTCTCAGTTAAGTAGCTATTTAAAAATTCTCAATAGCATTATTTTCTCTCAGAACGCATACAGTATACTGTAGGACAGATTTTATAACATAACACGTCTGCATATAAAAGGTACAAGATCATTGTGCATTAGCAGGTGGCAGATGTAACCAAACCACATTGAACAAGATCTGCGACCATTGTTTTGTAATGCCACTAAAGCCTTTTTCTGGCATGAAATACACGCTCATAGATAATTCTGAACAACCACACAGGTTCTCAGTTTACTTAACTCTGGCCAGTTATCCTTAAGCTACAACAAGGCCAATGATAGTAAGGTTTTTGTTCTGCAATAAAGTTATATTGCATATACAGAATCTTTCCTGCTTTTTGACCACTGCAATCACTGCAACCTGAACAACAGTAGCAAAACTCAGCAAAGTTCCCTCAATATAGAGGTGCAGCTCCTCTACCATTATTTAGTAGCAGTCGATGAAACTACATAAAGGTTTCACACATGTGTGGAAGATGTCATCACATCAGGTGTGCAATGTCTGTACGTGGTGTGATGACGTTATGCCCAAACATGGAACAAACTCTGAAAATAAAACAAATGAGCATTTGAAAATGTAAAGCCCTGAGCTTCACTCAGTTTGCAACTTTCAATTGTAGCACTGTCATTTGAGCATCACTTATAGTGCAACTGAACAACAACAACAACAAAATTACATTTATAGAATGCATTTCACGGCTGAAGACCTAATATAAAAGAAGTGTAGGACCACTAACTCGATCAACGGAGTAACTAACAGATTAGTAACAGATTGTGAAGTCTGGGGAAAGGTGGTACAGATAGAATTATTTTATAACTAAAGGAGACAAAAACTTGGCAAGCTATCTGTACAACAGGTAGATCAGCATCTGTAAATGAAAGACAGATTGATTTGCTCCATTTCCCATGTTTTCATTCTTACTTCTCTTGCCTAGCTGTCCCTTCACATGAGAACAGTAATAACAGAGTGAACTTCCTATCAGCCACTGTAGCCACCAGATAATATTCCACTACCTGTATGATTATTTCCAATTGCCCCCTTTCTTCAGTATCAATACCTCTGTGACTGATTCATTACCCCCAGCATTGGCTCCTTTTTGTGTATAACCTTCAGTTAATGTATATTGGCTGTTCATGCTGCAATCTATTCCATATGAGACAAGGGATAGATTGGGAGACCACTTTACTGAACATCTCTGTACCTTCCACAAACATGACCCTGACCTCCCTGTGGTTTATTATTTCAAAACCCACTCTCACTCTGACCTTTGAATTCTACTCCAGTGAAGATCCGTGTAAAGTCAAGGGCCATTACCTGATCTTTATTGGGAGAGGGGAGACTCTTCAGCCTACAAGCCTTGTGATTGACTAACTTTAGGTGTCAATCTAGCTCAGTTGGTAGCACTTTCACTTCTGAGATAGTGGGTCAAATCTCATGTTGGGACATTGAGCTCATATTCTGGACTGACATTCCAGTGCAGTGTTAGGAGTACTCTGCATTGAAGTGCTGTCCTTTCGATGTTTCGGTGAAGATTGGCAAGAACCAAGGCTTGGTGACTCCATAGCAGTAGGAAGCATCCATCCACACAATCACCTCAGCAATGCTGTCAGAAGACGTGCCACACAGCGGAAGGGAAAAATAGAGCTTGAATTACTTTGGGCCCCTTTCATACACCTCACAGTGACCAGTTACAGAACAACGGTAGCAGAAGCAATGGTGAAGGGCCGTAATTGCATCACAATCCAACTCTTGGGCAAGGCATGATGCACGGTGCAGAGTGCTTCAAAGAAAAAGGAAAGAAATGATAAAATAACAGCGACAGCGTAACTCTTCTGTAAATGAAGTAAAATTCGTTCAGATTAAAAAGTAAACCTAAATGTTCGTTTCTCGATTACAGGTCTTAAAATGGTTACTGTTTTCACTGGATCTTTCTCGAATGCTCACAGTGTGGCAAATTGATTTTTCTCAGCTGAAGTGAAGGTCATCTGCAGCTATGAGAATCTGCTTACAGAAAATGCAATGCACAGCAGGAAATCTTTGAAGGGCAGAAAGAGAATGTTTGCCTACTAGGTTAGCAGATTTAAGATCCAATTAGGGAGTCCATTGTGAACCCAAATGCTATTTTCATGCAATAATGTGATCAGAGAAGCATTAATTACTTTCCTAGGGAGAGTATATTGTGTCTTTGTTGTATGGTTTTAACAACCATATACTGATATAATTGAGTTGTTAAACATGTTAGAATAATAATTGATGGTCATGTGTAAGGATTTGGCAAATTAAATGAATTGTAATGTCATAGTAAAATGGATGAAAAGTACAACAGCAAATAAGTAATGTTGACATTTATAATTATAGATATCTTGCAGAAATAATAAAAGGTGTTATATATAAATTGAATATGTGCATGCTAAATAGCAAAATTAAAACATTCTTTCTATGAATTGAACTTCAAATGGGTATTTTTGCATCTGAACACAATTTATTATTGAATAATTATTTATTTGAAAAGAAACATCTCCAAACTCCTTATTATTTAAATTGGAAGTGATTGTTTCAAAAGTAATTTAGTAAATTTCTAATTATTCAAAAACGCACTAAATCTGCTTAATTTATTATCATAAATACATAGGTTTCACACAATATTCTAATTGGCCACATTGCTCTAATAGACAATTCCAATAATATTTATCAATCATATT